TACTTATACTTCCCTTTCTTAAACTATAGATACTATACTAATATACTATAGAGTATCTATAGTATTACTACTACTTAATATATCCTCTATATAGCTAGCGTAGACGCTCCCTATATAGATCCTACTAGACTTTATAGCGCTTATATAGATATACTCCCTTTTATAACTACTTTTTTATAGTAGTAGGAAAACATAAGCTATAGATTAAGCTAGAAGCTAAGATATTATATTACTTACTCTAGAAAGATAATATTATAAAGTCTATCTTAACCTTTAATAAGGAGAAAGGACTAGCCTATATATATCTTTTACTACTCTAGGGGCATAAAGTAGATTAGATTATACTTCTTTAGGTTAAAAATAGAGGCGTGGTAGCGTGCCTAGATCCTTACTTTCTTATATACTTTTTTAAGCTTAGAGATAGTCTACTACTCTATCTTATTAGTTACTATAAAGCCTATATTATTAACCTAGCCTATAGTAGAGAGATCTCTACTTCTAGTCTAGTAGTCTTTAAGTAGGTCTATATTATAGAGAAAATAGAGAATTAGTAAAAGAGGAGATCCTTATAGGATACTAGTTAGTGTAGGAATATACTTTAATATACCCTCTAGTATATAGATATATATGCTTTTATCTATTAGGAATGCTTTAATCTATAGAGTAAGATAGCTAAGCTAATACTTTTTAATATTATAGATTAGATATATATATAAGATATTATTATATACTCTAGATATATCTAGTATAAGAAGAGAGACTATAGAGCCTCTACCCTACGCGCTATATATCTAATCTAGTATAATTTAGATAGCGTATTCTATAGATATATCTTATCTTTTACTAAGATAATCTTTTAGTAGTAATCTATACTCTTCTATAGTATATAATATATATCTTATAATAATAGACTTAAGGAATTTACTAATTATATTAAGAAGAGTAACTAGTTAATATAACTTTACTTTCTAGTAGTCTTAGTTACTAGCCTTATAGAGTACTACTATAATAGACCTCTAGAAGTAGTTTAGATTATATCCTATTTATATATATATATTAAAGAGTTAGTAAAGCGCGCTTACTACTATAGGAATTTTAATTAGCTTATACTAAAGAGCGTTTAGAATTATATCTTCTTTAGGGGCCTTATCTATAGGAGTAGCTTATATAGCTTCCTAGATCTTATAGGGTATAATCTTTAGAAATTCTATACTTTCTAGATATATATATCCTTCTATATCTACTATATCTATTTCTAGAGATTATAGGAAGAAAGTATACTAGAAAGCTACTACTTTCTACTCTATAGTCTCTACTATAGAACTATCTTATACCTAGAGTATAGATATAAGTCTATACTTATAGATACTACTATAGTTCTATACCTACTTTACTAATCTCTATATACTATAGGGGCCCTCCTTAATAACTCGCTATATATACTAGTAATAGGCCCTACTAAGTATACCCTTAATAAGCTAGTTCTTATTATTCTAGGCCTACTTATAGCGAAGTTTATTAAGTAGATTATATAAGCGAGTCTATATTCTATAAAGGTAGTATATAGTCTTAACTACTTCTCTATACTCCTAGATAAAGTTAGAGTTTAACTATATAAAATACTTAGCCTATAGTATAGAGGCGTTAATTATAGCTTATATAGTATATATAAAGGCCTAGGTTTTAAGCTCTATATATTACGCGCTAGTAGAAGTTAGGTCTTATAATATAATATACTTTTTAATAAATTCTATAAATATCTTATTATCTATAGCGCTCTAATTTTAGTATTCTAGGGCCTTATAGAGTAATATCTATATATTAAGAGTTATCTATATTAGATAGTGATTAGATTAATATTTAATCTTATCTATATATCTATAGTTAACTAGTTAACTAGCGAGCTCCTTACTAATCTATATTAAGTTAATTATTAATTCTACTCCTCTATACTCCTATATAGGCCTACTAGCCTTTATAAGTAAGTTAAGCTTATACTAGTCTATTAGTAATAAGAAATCCTCTAATTCTATATTTACTAGAGCTCCTAGACTACCCTATACTAGATAGTAGGTGTTAAAGTCTCCTATAATAATATACTCTACTTCCTTACGCTTAGAGAGCTCTTAATAGAGCTTATCTAGTATATCTATACCTTATTAATTATATATATTATATATAAAGAGATCGCTCTAGTTCCTATCTATATAGGCCTTCTAGAGCTTTAAGATCTAGTAATCATAATCTATAAGTATATAAGACTACTTACCTAGCTAGAGGTTCTTAGATATATAGAAGTAAACGCCTAAGGGGTTAGGTATACTTAGATATATAAGCTAGAAGAGTAAGGAAATAGGCTAATAGATTATATTAGAAAAGATATTCTTCTATAGCTCTTAAACCATAATTACGCTAGCTTCCTATATATATTAATCCCTAAGAAATAAGGCTATAACTAGTTACGATTTATTTATATTATATTATAGAATTTCGAGCTTATTTATTAGATAAAAGGTAGTCCTAGTTATCTTAGTTATACTAGTTATTACTATATTCTAAAGCCTTATAGAAGAACTCTTCCTTTAGTTCTAGAGGCGAGCTACTAATATAGAATATATCTCTATCGAAAATATCGCTAAAGTAGAGTCTATGGCTTAGTAGAAGCGTCTCCTTTATAGGCGCTAGAGCTAGGGGGTATAGTAGAAGAATTCGTAGATATATGGCTTACTCTTATATTAGCGGGTCTTAAATGCTAAGCTATACCTTAGCGCTTTGAAGTAGCTATATAGTAGGGTTAGCTAGAGCTAGAGCTAGAGCTAGAGATAGAGATCTAGCCTATATGACCTAGTCATTCTCTATATCGATCTAGGGCTCTTTAAAGCGGCGTTTCTTATGCTATAGGAGACGCTCTAGGTCCGAGATTGGGTCTAGGAGCGCTTATTGCTAGGAATGACTATTCCTAGCACGCTTACTAATGGCTAGGGTATTCTACGTAAGCTCTAGTTACGTGGGTAAGCTCTTGTCGCTAAATATAGAAGTTTTTGACTTATTCTTAGAGCCCTTAGGTTAGCCCTAGGCCTTCTAAGTTACTAGCTAGCTCGCTAGTAGAGCTATATACTGGCTAGCGAGTGGAACTATGCGCTAGCTGGCTGATTAGCTAAACTAGAAGTTAAAGCGGTTCGCTAGAGCGTATATTAAGTCTTTAAGCCTAGCTTATAACATAAAATTAAACTCTAGGGCACGCGCTAGAGCTAGAGCCAGAGCTAGAGCTAGAGCTTATACTAGAGCTAGAGCTAGAGCTAGAGCTAGAGCTAGAGCACGCTATATATAGAGATAGAGAGGCACGCGGTAGTATAGCGGGCATTCTACGTATATCTACTCTACCTTAGCCTTTACTTCTCTCTTAACTAGGTAGTTAAGGCTTATAGGCTAGTGATCACTAGAATAATTAGCATATTTAATTTAGATTATACCACTACGCGTAGATAGGCACTCCTAGGTTAGATACTTATCTACGTAGTGACTATATATAAAGCTTCTATATAAGTAGTATGATTAAATATACCCTAGTTTCTAGCACTTATAGTATAGCTTTACCTAGCTATCTTAATAGAAAAAGACGATAGAATAGACCTTAGAATTCTAGTATAGACCCTAGTTAATAGCTTAGTTCGCTATAACTAGGCTATTAAACTCTATTATTACTAATACCTTACGCTAGCTCTTATATAGGTAGGTAAGTTAGTTAAGGTAGATAATCTCCGCTTTTCTACCCTAATTTAATATATTCTACTACTAAATCTCACTTACTAAGCCCTCTTATGACTTAGATATAAGCTAGAAGCTCTAGATTAGTAATCTATATATAATAACGCCCTATAATAGGCTCTAAATCTATACTACTAGGCTAAATATATATATCTATTCTATATAATAATAGAGGAGCTCTACCCTAGTAGTAGAGTTAACTAGTATTAAAATATCTCTAGATAGTAATATATAAGTAGTATAGAAATATACGTTCCTAACTAGGGTAGGGGAGGTTTTCTTACTTATATATTTCTTATATAAGCTCTCTATCTTATCTATAATCGCTTTTATCTCTATTTACCTAATTTTATCCCTCTATATAGGGTCAACCTTAATTATAATAGACTAGTCCTTATAGAGCTTAACCTCGCTTATGCCTAGTAACGCTATACTATCGCTTTAGTTAATAGAGGGATCTATAGAGACTATATATTAGGCGCCCGCCTAGAACGCTTTCTAGTAGTCTATTAAGGATAGGGTTAAAGTAGAAGTTATGGTTAATAAGCTAGCGGACTTTTTAATACTATTAATTCTAGTATTTAAGCGCTATATATTAGTGGTAATTACTTTAAGAGTAGAGATAACCTTTATTATCTCCCCCTAAGCTCTACTAATACCCTACTTTACCTATATAGTAAACTAGCGAACTATCTAGATATAGTAGGTAATATATAGGTCTTCCTTACTCCCTTCTAGGAAGTATAGGGCCTTATCCACTCCCTTAATAAGTTAATCTATACTAGTTATATTATTCTTATTAATTTTAGTTAATCTTAGTATTATAATTTTTTAGTTTTCCCTATATTCCACGGCTATAGAACTATAGTTTAGGCGCATAACTCTAATAGTGGCTATTTTAACCTATAAAACCAGTATTAAAATAGGAGTTTAATACTACCACACCCCTAATATTAGAGCCACACCCCCACGTGACCAGAAAGTCGGTTCTGCCAACTTTTTGGAGGTTCTGCCATGAAATCCACCCCGCCTTCCTAAAATGGAAGTTTTCTGCCTTTGTTTACCTTTTTCTGCCCCGTACTTCTCACCGCCTTTACTAGAAAAGAATTCTCTACCAAATCCACTTAGTAATCAGGTTTACATAGTAAATTGCATGGAAATTGCATGATTTTGACGCCATTCTGGAGCTCTGAATTCGAGTATTGTGACTGCTGTATTGTACGTGTAACTGCTTATGTGCCTCTGCCTCTGCCCCTGCCTCGTCCCCGCCCACTACCTGCTGGGCGACCTACCTTGCCACGGGCACGGGCACGCCCCCCCCGACCCCCAAGCCCGCCTCTTGGGCCCTGAGCGACGTACTCGAACCCCGAAGGCTCACGTTGTGTTATGCGATCGAATGGTGTAAGCGGGTCTTCTGGTGTGTATGGTATAAGCGAGGGCTGTGAGGACGGTACTTGTATCGAGGGGGCTTGCGAGGATGGCTCGAGCGAGGATGGTGTAAGCTGCGAGTATGTATGTGAGGTAGTCCCCTGCGAGGCCGGGACCTCCGAGCTCTTGGAGAGGTGTATAAGGTTCTTAGCCCCACGAGGGCGACCTTTACCTCGAACTGGTAATGGATCGAGGATATATAGCTCAGGCGCAATTAGTGGAGCTTCACTAAGCTTGTGGAGGTGCCACTGCTGATGGAAGAGGTTAAGCTTAAGGCCTCGGCTCTCATCCAGGTGCTGCTTGATGATATGGATATATGGTGTGCCTGCCGTGTCCTTGGAATTGCATACATATATAGCGGAAATCACGGGTTTGTCAGCGGCCTCAGGGAGGTATTTCTCGAGCTCTTTTGTCACGTTTTCTATGGCTTTCTTCGAGATATAGGTCATAAGTAGTCTGTAAAGGGGGCGGACGCTTACTGGTATACGAATCCTACCATTTTGTATGGCAAGCTTATTCATATGGTACTGTCGGTTAATGACCCTTGCGAAGTTAATAAAAACGATCAAAAGATCATTAATTGAAGTTGTTAGGTCTTGCTTTAATAGCCAGTGAGCACCTTCATATCTTGATGTAGACGTCTGGCCTAGATGGAGGTAAAATTGGGTGAAAAGCTTTAGGAAATGCTCTGGGTAGTCGTCAAGCCACTCCTTCTTGAGATATGTATGAAGCGGTTTGAAGACGAGGTCACTGTAATGTTCCTGGAAGTGGTTCCACGCATAGTCAAAGGCATGAGAGGTACTTGCGTATAGAACACTATTCCAACGACTCTTCATGATCTCCCATGACGCGAGTGATAGCTGATTAATTGCCTCGGAAAGCTGCGCTTTTGTTATTGATTGATTAGGTAACGTAAGCTTATCTGGAAGAGCTGTCTTGTTCTCGACTGCTGCTTTGATTCGTGCCTTTAAGATAGGCCCTGCTTTCTTGTAGACGTTCGAGTAGTGGTGCCAAGAGCATAATATGTTCTTTGTATCAGGAAAGACAGTTGTGATTACAGACATTAGCGCTCGCTCCTTGTCCATTAGAATTGTTCGAGGATAAGGCTGGTTAGGTATGGTGTGGAATAACTCAGCGAGATATCCTAGGGCCGTCTCGTATGTCTCCTGCTTCTCATCCTTTAGGAAGGCAAAACCGATAAAGAAGGTTAAACCAGTCGCTGTGAATCCAACGATATCGAGGAGGGGCATACTAAAGCGATTCGTCTTATAGGTGCAGTCTATGGAGATAACCCATGGGTAAGAGGCAAGCATATGGAGGCATATCTTATGCGTCCCGAAGAGCACACTCACATGCTTCTGCTCATCGAGGTCATACTTAAAAACCCAATCTCCACCCTTCAGGAGCTCCTATAGAAGAGCTTGTATAGGTGTGCGGCCTGCAAGAAACTCGAGTTGAAGCTTTTGACGGTGGTTATAGATATCCTAGGCGATAATACACGAGTAGGGGTCTTCTTCACGAAGAGACGTAAGAATGAATCGAGTATCGAGGCCTCGCTTGATCCATGCGTTAATCGAGTCAAGCTTCGCGGTAAGCTCACGCTTTCGGTGTATGGCGTGGGTTGATGTCGCTATAGGCTCATGATTATGGGAAATGACCCTGTGTTCCAAGACCCAGGCATCGTGATTAGCCTTAAGCTTAAGGATCACGGAGAATGGGCAAGCCATAGCAATTGACGTCGAGACTCGCTTGCGCTCCTTGTCTTTGTGCCTATCCCGAGGCTTTCGCCCACGTGTACAGCACACGTACACTGTATTATGCTTAGATCGTTCAGTGGAGACAGAATACCCATATTGCTCTGCAAATTGGTTCATGTGCTCTATCCCAAGCTGTGGTGTGCGGTATTCGATGCCCTCCGGGGGTGGAGGCATGGTAACTAGGGGTAGACTCGGGCTCGGTGGAGTAGGACTCGGTGGGGCCTGGGGGTCAGGGCTTACGCTCGGAGGGTCAGAATTGAGGTCAAAGATATCCATTGTGACGTATGTGGTGGTGTGGAGCTGGGCGGTGAGCAGCAAGTGTGTAGAGATTGGCTTAGAATTTTCCTTAGAAAGCGGTGTGCAAAGCGGTGTAAAAAGCGGAGAGGGATATGGTAAATCATATGGTATTAATAAGCAGAAATGCCCTAAGCTAACCGTATCTAGTAGGTTCTGGTCACGTGGGGGTGTGGCTCTAATATTAGGGGTGTGGTAGTATTAAACTCCTTAAAATATAGCTATTAAAGTAATTAAGATTTTAAACTAGGTCTTAAAGCCCTAGGACCTTTAATTAGCGAGATATTTTAAGAATTCGTTTTACTAAGAGATAGATATTTTTTTTTCTATATTTTAGTTCTATTTTATTATAGAATAACTCTATTAGTTTATTTAAATTAACTATTATAGAAATAGTAAAGAATAGGGCTATTTTTATATAGTAATTAACTATAACTAAAATAGAGTTAATAATTAATTCTTTAAAGAAGATTTAGAGTAAGCTAGTAATAAAATCTATAGTTAATTTAGACTAAGATTAAGATAGAATTAGAAGTAAGTTTAGCTTACTATATAAATAATATCTTAGTAAAGTAATATCTTAATATATAATATATTCTTTAATATAATCTTTAATTTCTTAGTTAATTTACTCTTAATAGAAGTTTATTTTTAATAACTTACTTATTTTACACTCCCTAAAATAGCTATTTAGAGGGTTATTATAGTATAATTCTAATAAGATTTATCTTAATTTTATTACTAAGGGGATATAATAATACTTTTTAAATAATATTAATCTATTAAAACTAAGAGACTAAGTCTTATTTATTCCTTTATTATTCTTTTATTTAGAATAAGGGTTATAACTTCTTATATTAATAGGACTTATAATCTAATATTTTACTATCCTTTTTAATAACTTAGTAATAGAACTTAATTTAGTAGCTTTTTAAGCTTATTTCTAGCTTACTTTACTTTTATTTAACTTTTATCTAGTAATAAAATAGCCTAACTTCTACTTAGTAGTAGAAAAACCTAACTTCTACTTTAATTATCTTATAATAGAATAACCTAACTTCTACTTAGCTATACTTATAGAGGCTAGTAGGACTATATAGGAGCGTGGAGGAGTAGAATCAGTGATTGACTTAATATAGATTAGTAAGGAGCTTACTAGTTGACTGGTTAACTATAGGTATGTAGACAAGATCGAATATTAATCTGATCACTATCTAATATAGATAACTCTTAATATATAGACGTCGCTCTATAAGGCCCTAGAATACTAAAATTAGAGTGCTATAGACGATAAGATCCTTATAGAATTCATTAAAAAGCATATTATACTATAAGACCTAACTTCTACCACTATAACTAAGTAATATATAGAGCTTAAAACCTAGGCCTTTATACGTACTATATAAGCTATAATTAACGCCTTTATACTATAGGCTAAGCTATCTATATAGTTAAACTCTAACTTTACCTAGGAGTATAGAGAAGCGGTTAAGACTATACGCTATCTCTACTATATATAGACTCGCTTATATAACCCGCTTAATAAGCTCTACTATAAGTAGGCCTAGAATAATAAGAACTAGCTTATTAAGGGCATACTTAGTAAAGCCTACTATTAATATATATAGAAGGTTATAGAAGAGGGCCCCTATAATATATAGAGATTAGTAAAATAGGCGTAGAACTATAGCGGTATCTATAAATATAGACTTATATCTATACTTTAAACCTATAATAAAGTAGTAGAGACTATAGAGTAGAAAGTAGTAGCTTTCTAGTATACTTTCTTCTTATAATCTCTAGAAGTAGATATAGAAGATATATAAGGATATATATATCTAGAAAGTATAGAATTCCCTAAAATTATATACTATAAGATCTAGGAAGCTATATAAGCTACTCTTATAGATAAGGCCCCTAGAGAAGACGTGATTCTAAATACTCTTTAATATAAGCTAATTAAAATCCCTATAGTAGTAAGTACGCTCTACTAGCTCTTTAATATATATATATAAATAGGCTATAATCTAGGCTACTTCTAGTAGTCTATTATAGTAGTGCTCTATAAGGCTAGTAACTAAGACTACTAGGAAGTAAAGTTATATTAACTAGTTACTCTTCTTAATATAATTAGTAAATTCCTTAAGTCTATTATTATAAGATATATATCTTATACTATAGAAGAGTATAGGCTACTACTAAAAGGTTATCTTAGTAGAAGATAAGATATATCTATAGAATATACTATCTAAATTATACTAGATTAGATATATAGCGTATAGAGAAGAGGCTCTATAGTCTCTCTCCTTATACTAGATATTTCTAGAGTATATAATAATATATTATATATATATCTACTCTATAACCTCTAAAAATAATATCTTAGGTAGCTTATACCCTAGATTAGAGTATTTCTAATTAGTAGAAGTATATATATTTATATACTAAAGAGTATATTAGAGCGTATTTCTATACTAACTAATATTCTATAAGGATCTCCTCTCTTACTAATCCTCTATCTTCTCTATAATATAGATCTACTTAAAGACTACTAGACTAGAAGTAGAGATCTCTCTACTATAGACTAGGTTAATAATATAGGCTTTATAGTAACTAATAAGATAGAGTAGTAGACTATCTCTAAGCTTAAGAAAGTATATAAGAAATCGATAATCTAGATATAATAATATACCTCTATCTTTAACCTAAAGAAGTATAATCTTATATACTTTATACTATTAGAGTAAAAATATAAAGGCTAGTCTTTTCTTTTAGTTAAAGATTAAGATAGACTTTATAATATTATCTTCCTAAAGTAAATAATAAGATATCTTAGCTTCTAGCTTGATCTATAGCTTATATTTTCCTACTATAATAAAAAAGTAGTTATAAAAGGGAGTATATCTATATAAGTACTATAAAGTCTAGTAGGATTTATATAGGGAGTATCTATACTAGCTATATAAAGGATATATTAAGCTATAGTAATCCTATAGATACTCTATAGTATATTAGTATAGTATTCTCTACTTATAATAGATAAGGGAAAAGCTTAGGTAATTAATAATAAATTTATAGTAATCTAGAAGTAAGTAGCGTACCTAATTAGTAGAGCCTTTAAGACTAGTATAGTAGAAGCACTAAATATTAAGCTCTACTTATTATTAATTAGTATCTAGATAGAGTATATCTCTATAGAGATAACTCTTTAGATATATATAGATCTAATATATAGAGTTCTATAGCTTATAATCTAATAGTATTCTTAATAATAATATTAATATAATAGATAGTTATTAATAGAGATATATATATAGTAGAAGAGTAGATACTTAATAGCTCCCCTAGGAGCTTTACTAAGTTAATAGAAGAGCTAGTAAGTATATATCTAGGTATTATAGCGCGCGCCTTTAGAAGTCTTTATCCTAGAGTATAATAAAGCTATAAAGGAGTATATAGAGATTAGTAAGAATTAAGATAAAATACTAATATATATAGATAGAAGTAGAATTAAGGGGAAAGTTAGTACTATAGTAATAATAAAGGCTACTTATAAGTACTATTACTACTAGATAGATATAGAGTAAGACTTAATAGTCTACTCTATAGAGCTCTAGGCTATTAAGATAGTAACTAAGATTATATAAGTATATATATAGTATACTATAATCTTCTCTAATAGCTAAGCTACTCTCTAAGCGCTTCTCTACCTATATATATCTTTTAGTTAGGTCTATCTCTATAGAGCTATTAAAAACCTTTAAAAACTTATAGATTAAGATATCTAGATTAAGCTCTACTAGATCCCTACTTATTAAGGGATTCTAGGTAATAAGCTTATAGATAAGTATATAAAGTAAATAGTAAAAGTAGAGATAGATATACTAGGCCTATATAACTAGTATATTAAGCTCGCTATAGTAGTAAGGTAAGGTATTTAGGAATAGATAAAGATTATATAGGAGATAGTATAGAAGAAAGAGAAGATAGGAAAAGTAATAAAATAGTTAATTCTAGTACTTATAAAGAAGGTTCTAGACTACTAGAAAAACTAAAGAAAAGCGTTAGTATCTATTATACTTTAAATATAGCTTAATATTATTAGATTAAAGTATTATCTATAAAGAATTAGAGTTATAAACTTATCTTACTATATATATAATCTTAGGCACTAGTAACTAAGATATATACTCTTAGAGTACCCCTTTTTTAAAGATAAGTATAGAGATATATAAATAGCGCTTATATAAGCGCGTATATATATATCTCTATTATTTAACTAGCTTATATAAGAGCGAAGTACTATACTAGTAATCTCTATCTTTATAGAAAAGACCTAACTTCTTAGGTAGTTTTATATAATTAATCCTAACGCTATAGGATTTAAACTAGACCTAGAGTAGTAAGAATAACTAGTATAATCTAATAAAGTAGTATAGTAGTAGTAGATAAAATATAGATTATAGGAAGAAGGGCTAGGTCCCCTCCTTCCCTTAAGAGGTAGAATAATATAGAAGTAGCTAACTAGCTAGGGAAATAGTTATATATCTAGAGATAGTATATTATAGAGGTAGAAGTAAGGCGAAAGTAAGGATAGAGTAAGAAGAAGAGGATATAGTAGTATAAGGGGTATTAGAAGTAGGAAGTAAGAGTAGAAATAGGAGATATAGCGAAACTATAGAGGTATATAGGGTAGAAAAATAAAGTTATAGGTATAGTAGGTATAATAATCTCATAAGGAGTTTAGAAGATATAGTAAGCCTCCTAGTTAAGCTAGAAACGAACTAGATACTAGTAGCTATATTACTAGGGTAGAGATTAACTTTCCTTTAACGCTCTTTCCTTTATTTTAATATTTTTATACTTAATTTTTATAGATTATAGGTAACTAGGGGTTATAGATAAGCCCTAACTTTACCTCTATATATAATATATCTTAGATATAGCATACTATTTTATTACTAGATAGGCCTAGTAATACC